TTTTGTTTCCACTACCTAAAGGCTTACTGATGGTTTTAAGAAAACCTTAAAAGCATAGTATTGGCAAATCCATATATGTTTTAGAGACTATCCTCTCCATCTGTAACTACATCTAGCAAAACTAAGTGTTTAAGGACATAGGCACATAGCCGTGTCCAACATGGTGATAATTAATTCAGTGCAAGTATACGTCATTCTGCAGACCCATATCAGTGAAACATGTAAGTATATTTTCTAGAAAGTGTGATCACTTTGCTAGTTAAATTAATAGTACTTCAGGAAATTCTATGAGATACATACTTTAATAACCAAACCATGAAGAAGAGATACCAAAAAAAAACCTGACCTATCAGTTTTTGCATAGACCGCAAGCATCATGCAGTAGCACATCACGCTTGGTAGGATTCCGAATGCTTTAATCTCTTGAAACTGCTCTTCTGCCTCTTCAACAAGCCCGGCAAAGTAGTAAACACTCAAGACTGCCTCAAGTGTTTGCTCATTTGGGTCAACTTTTGCATTATCCATCTCAACATAGGCCTTTATGGCGTCCTCAAACTGACCTCCCTGTCTAAAACCTTCAATAACACCATTAAATGAATCGCTGTTCCTTCCTATACCGGACTCAATCATCCTAGTCACGATTGCTCCTACCTCCCTATAAAGTCCACCCCTTGCATATGTATGGATCAAAGAGTTATAGGTTTCCACAGTGGGCTTACTTCCCACCTCATTCATAGTGTTAAATGCGACAAGAGCTTCCTCATACAACCCAGCTTGCCCATAAGCCTCAATAACCCCAGTGTAGGCCTTAGCACTTGGCACCAAGCCTTTTTCATTCATACGTAATAAAATCTCTTTTGCATCCTGATACAAGCCTCCTTTCCCACAAGCAAACACCAGCCCTTCATAGGTCTCCATATTTGGCTCCACATTCTCCTCCACCATATCATGGAATAAAGTCACCACTTCCTTAAAATAACCACCCTCGCCAAAAACCTGTATAAGAATATTATAAGTTGCAGCATCTGGCTCAGTGTTGCTCACTTTCATCTCAAGGAAAAGCTCACGAACATCATCATACCTCCCTTGGCCACCATACAAGTTCAACAAAATACTATAGGTACTAGCATTCGGCATGCAGCCCGCTTCTTGCATCTGCCTAAACACCCCCATAGCCTCTTTAATGGATCCCTTTTGTGCATAAGCTTCCAATAACACATTATATGACAATATATCAGGCATTTTACCACTCAGCTCCATCTCTTTCAAAAGTTCAGAAACCTTTCCAAGCTCACCTAACTTGCTAAATGTCTCAACAACATAGCTATACGTTGTTATATCAGGCAAAACCCCACTTTCATTCATAGTCCTAAACACCATCTCAGCCTCATCACCCAACCCTCTACTAGCACAAGCGCTAAGCAACGTGTTATAAGTCACGATATCAGGCTGAACCCCTTCATGCCTCATCTCAGCAAACAACCCCAACAACTCCTCCCAATCCAACCCACCTCTAGCACAAGAATTAATCACAGTATTATAAGTCAATATATTAGGAGCCACCCTCTCTTTCTTCATCCTATGCAACAACTCAAGGGCGGTCTCATACTGACCATTCCTACCATAAGCATTAATCAAAGCAGTATACGAAAACACGCTACGAGGTACATTATGAACAGGCATATCGTCAAACACCTCATGACATTTCTCAAGCAACCCTTCTCTACCCAAGACCCCAATGATAATAGTATATATATGTTCATTAGGTTTGCACCAAATTTGGCGCTGCATATATTTAAACAATCTTAAGGATCTTTGCCAATCACCCCTTTGAGCAAATTCCTTAAAAACCAAAGCAAAATCATTAAGAGAAAGCTTACTTTTAAATGCATCAAGACATCTAGCAATAGACCCTCTAGGAGGAAGACTACTTAACTTATTAATTAAGGTCTCAATATCATAACTATACTTACCCTTTTCAAGTGTGAATGATGGGTTGCCCAGAATTAGGTCTTTGGTTTTGGCTTTGAGCTTGAAATCAGAGGAGAGAGAGTAGGGTTTTGAGAAAAGGGGGGATTTTTGGGGAAATAGTAATACTGGGTTTTGAGGGAAATTGGGAAATGGGTTTGGTTTAGGAGAGAGAAAAGGTTGAGAGGAGAGAGAAAGAGTGAAGGTTAGAGTTTTTATCATGTTGGGTTTGGATGAATTTGCATCAGAAATTGGGGTCGGAAAATTAGGGTTTTTGAGGGGTTTTTGGTGTTTGAATTGGAAATTGAAGTTGCAGAGAAACGGGTGAAAGAGGAAGAAGCAGAAGAAGATGAAGATGAAGGGTAGAATTTGCAGAGGTAGTTTTGGATAACGATGACCGTTGGAAGGGGTGGCTAACTGCTATGCCCGCCCATTATTCTGTTATTGAGTTAAACATTACAGACTTAGAGTATTGTTTTCTTCAAGTTATTCTTGCTTAATTGAAATTATTTTTATAAATTAAAACTCATTTTTATTTATTCTGAGCATTATATTTGTTTGTTAAAGTCAATAATCTTTATGAGCTAAAACATATTCAAGTGAAATTATTTTAAGAAAAATTTACCAATTGTAGTCATTTAAAGTTTGTTTTTGCAAATTACAGCCATTTAAAAAAAGAAATTGTAAATTGCAACTCAATTCAATCATTTTTTCGATTTACGTGTCGAAAAATATTTCGTTAAGGTTTTAGGGGCCATTTTAGATGTTAAGGAACTAAAATGAGCTTGCAAATGGCAAAAAAGTAATGTAAGAGCCTCATTTTCACGATAAAAAATAGTGACACACAAACCGATACATTTTTATACCGTAAAACGAAGCACTTACATAATTTTTTTGCAAATATCTCAATGTTATGGTATTTTCTAACTTCTATTTATTCTCTTTAGCTTGTTGGATTACATGCTACCTCATCCTAAATTATGAAATGACTAAAGAAAATGAAAACTTGAAAATTGTATTAGTTGTTGAAGAAATATATTATAAATTTTTTTTAATTATTTTTTAAAAAAAGGAACGTAATTTTAATGGTTACCCTTGTGTTCCGGAAATGATGTATCTCACATATCCACACATATTAGTTCTCAACAAATAATGCACAACCCTATATTTCTTTTTTCTTTTCTCTAGAAATAATCAATTTCTATAAGTTTTCTTACTTTTCTAGTGGGAGAAAAAACTTTTTGCATGAAGAAGATTAGATAACGAAAAGGCTGGAAATTACATTGCACAAAGAGAATCTGGAGAGGTAAGTAAATAGCAAAGTTGTTATGCAATAATGTGAAATGGTTAGATATTTTTTTTCCCATGTTTATATCATCATATATGTGAATATGTTTGGTGGAATGTAATGTTCTAAATTTTCTTTTAAATGTTTTCGTAAAAATACTTTAATTATAGAAAATTTCATAATTCTCTAAGTTATTCAGCTCGTTTATTATAAACTTAGAAATAACTTTTAGGAAAATTTGAATTTTAGTACCTCGAATATGGGGGTAATTGAATTTTAGTACCCATCTAAAATTTTATTTTAAATTAGTACCTCCAAAATGACAAAACTATAGGTTTCAGTACCTCCGTCAAGTTCCGTTAAGTTTTCTGTTAGTGGGGCCCAATAACTAATTATTTAATATTTAATTTATTAAAAAAAAGGAAAAAAATTTGTAAAAAAAAACTAAAAAAATAATAATAATAATAATAAAAACAGCCACTGCCACCACCGCCGGCGCCGGCTTCCGGCTGTTGGTGGCCGAATTCCCCTGGCACCGGCGCTGGCCACCCCTTCCCTTTCCCTCCCTGTTTTCCCCTTCCCTGGCACCGGCGCAACCACCACCATCTTCCCTCCCTTCCTCGTTCCTGGCCGCGACACCCCACCCCTCCCTTTCCCTCCCTGTTTTCCCCTTCCCCGAAACCCTAAGCGCAACCACCTAAACCAGCCCAGCGAGAAGCTAACAGCAGCAAATCAACCCACCACCGCCGCATAACTCCTCTCCCCTACCCAAAACCGTCGCCGAACTGCCGAAACCCCAACCCACACCCATACCAAAACCCACAAACAGCCGTACTCCTCTCACCCTTACCCTGAAACCAAATCAGGGCTGAGGAATTTAAGATCAACGGCTTCAATTGGAAGTGCGAAAGGTGGTGGTTTTGTCGGAGGAATTGGTGCTGGCTGGTGCGTGGGAACGAAGTAGGGGTTGCGGTGCTCTGCTAGTTGCGGGATGTTGGTGGTGAAGGCGTCGGAGGAATTGGTGCTGGCTGGTGCGTGGGAACGGAGCAGGGGTTGCGGTGCTCTGCTAGTTGCGGGATGTTGGTGGTGAAGGCAGTGGGGTGCCGAAAATTACTGTTGCGGACTGGAGGTTGAGGGGAGGTTGCTGGGCACGGGGTTGGTCTACCGCCGGTGGAAGGTGGGTGGCTGGTGGTATTAGGGTTTTTTTTCTGATTTTTTTTTTAATATTTTTTAAGTTTTTTTTATAAAATGTTTTTTCTTTTTTTTTAATAAATTAAATTATTAAATAATTAGAAATGGGCCCCACTAACGAAAAACTTAACGGAACATGGACGGAGGTACTGAAATCTACAGTTTTGTGTTTTTGGAGGTACTAATTTAAAATAAAATTTTAGATGGGTACTAAAATTCAATTACCCCCATATTCGAGGTACTAAAATTCAAATAAACCTAACTTTTATATTTATTTCCTTTGATGACAAGTATTAGTTATTCATCAAGCAAATATGTAACATTATGTTTGTCTTAGGAATTAAATTATTATGGATCGATGTATGTACACAAATAGATTGTAAATTTGTAGTTATTCTATGACAAATCCTCTCTTCTCGTCAAAAAAAAAAAAAAAAAAAAAAAAAAACCTCTTGGTTCTTTCACTTAATTTTGAAATATTGATCCATGTTTAAGCAATTAGATTTTTTTTTATTTCTTGCTAGCTATAAGTTATAAGAACCTATGATTTTTTTTTTAATTTTTTTTTTCTATTCAATAATTGCAGAACTTATAGTGATCCTTAGTTTTCTTTTAGAATTATGGATGACTCGGTGTCTATGGAAGGATCTCAACATGGCCAAGGCACGGAATTTGTGCCTTTTCAAACAACTCAGGAATCACTAGAAAATCTATTGCTACATGGGCATCTAGACATTTGGGTGAAGGAGGCTAAAAAACTTCCTAACATGGATCAAATTCATAAAACCATGTCCGGATTATTTGGGGGACGATTATCAATGCTAAAATCCCATGGAACAAGTGATCCATATGTTACAGTATCCATAGCTGGTGCAATTATAGCGCGAACTTTTGTTATACCAGATAACGAAAACCCAATGTGGATGCAACATTTCTTTGTACCTGTGGCACATACCGCACCAGAACTACATTTTGTAGTTAAAGACGACGATGTGGTAGGGTCTGAGATCATAGGAGCCGTCGGTATTCCTACTAAGCAATTGCTTTTAGGGGAGAAAATAGAAGGGACTTTCCCTATAATGAAAGGAAAAGGTAAGCCTTGGGAAACTGGAGCTAAGTTAAGTGTTTCAATTCAATACACCCCTGTACAAAAAATGAACTTGTACCACTTAGGTGTTGGTAACGGACCCGAATATAATGGTGTTCCTAGGACATATTTTCCTCTAAGAAAAGGAAATAAAGTTACACTATACCAAGATGCTCATTATGAAGATGGTATGCTTCCTGATATAAAGCTTGACTATGACAAAGATTTTGTTCATGGGAAATGTTGGCATGATGTATTCAATGCTATTTCGAATGCCCGGCATTTGGTCTATCTAACGGGGTGGTCAGTTGTTCACAATGTTAGACTTGTTCGCGATGATCCAAACTTATCTGGTGTTACATTGGGAGATCTTTTGAAAGGAAAAGCACAAGAGGGTGTTAGAGTTTTGGTCCTTGTGTGGGATGATCCTACTTCTAGGAAATTTTTTCATCGCACTACTGTAAGTTAATTAATTCTTTCATACTCTGTCGTATTATCCAACCATTCCTCTCAAAGACTTCGTTTATGATATGTTTACCTTAAATTTATTACATGCAATTAATGTTACTTATTCTTATTCGTTCGTTGATGCATAAAACTTTTTTGTCACTGTCACATCTAATCATTATATAACCATTTCATGTCAAATAGATAATAAATTAGTCGAGGCCTTAAAAATATACTTGTAGTATGTAACAAAATTATCGATTTTTATGATTATGTTATTGATAATTATGATTCTATATTATTAATATTTTTAGGAAGGCATGTTAGCAACCGATGATGAAGTGACTTACAAATTCTTCAAGGGCTCATCAGTTCACGTAGTACTATGCCCACGATCTGGTGGGAAAGGACATAGTTTGATTGGAAAGCAGGTAATACACACATAATTAGTTTATTTTAATTGTAGAAAATTAAATTACTAATAACATTGAATTCCATTTATTTTGTACAAAGATATTGCTAGATCAAGTCAATTGTAACTAGTAGTATGATTTATGTATATATTGTTTATGATGGTTAGGAAGCTGGAGCAATCTACACTCATCACCAAAAAACAGTTATCGTAGATGCTGATGCAGGTGAACATAAGCGAAAACTCATTGCTTTTGTGGGAGGACTCGACCTATGTAAGGGGCGTTATGATACCCCGGAGCACTCTTTGTTTAGAACGTTACAAACTGTACACGACGATGATTATCATAACCCCAATATTGCTGTAATTATTCGATCTATACCACTTGTACATTGTTTAGATCATTCTAGTATACTTAGTTGTTGGCTGGTTCACTTGGCTTGTTTAATTTGACGAGTTGGTAATAATTTTACCATCCGTGTAGGGTTCAATGAATGGATGTCCTAGAGAGCCGTGGCATGATTTGCACTGTCAAATCGACGGTCCAGCAGTATACGACATTTTAACCAACTTTCAAGAGCGTTGGTTAAAGGCTTCACCTCGCGGGATTAAAAAGCTTAAAAGAGCTTATGATGATCATCTAATTCACATAGATAAGGTTCCTAATATTATTGGACAATTAGATGCTAATCACACCTGCAACAACGATGATGATGATGATATGGAGTCTTGGCATGTTCAAGTAACTTAACTACTTTACTTACAAATTGCTTAAAAATTCTTAATTATGGATTATATATTGTTTTTATTATTGTACTTGTGATGATAATCTAGGTGTTTCGATCGATAGACTCTAATTCTGTAAAAGGCTTTCCTAAGGATCCTAAAGACGGACCACAAATGGTTAGATTCTTTTTCTTGACCTATTTTTCATACATATACTCACTTCATTTCGTAACATGTGACGCACAAAATTTCCGAGATTAAAGTTTTCAATATTGTTACTAATCATGATTTTGTGTTTTATGTTGGCGCAGAATCTTTATTGTGGGAAAAATGTACTGATAGACATGAGCATACATACAGCATACGTACATGCAATTCGATCTGCCCAGCATTTCATCTACATTGAGAATCAATATTTCTTGGGCTCGTCATTTAATTGGGATTCCCATAAGGGCTTAGGTATGATGAGATATAATTTTGTGTTAGTATTCATGAAATTCTTTCCGTCTCAAATTATATTTTCGCGTCTAAATTTGACATGTTAAATACCAATGATAAAATATCTTTTAACAAAATACTTCATATTAATGTTGGAAATAATTAAATACAGAGAGAGGGAGGTAACCTTTAAGAATTAAATGAAGAAATTATCAAGTACAATATGATTTTTAGTTGATAGAGTAAATAAACTAATCTGGCGCTTTAATTATTCGCTTAATCGATCTTTTGATTGAGTTCGTTCTCTTACATAATATTAGAGCCAACGTGGCATTAAGTATGGGGAGTTTCATGATGCATCCACAATTCAAGCTAAAAAATTAAAGGACTCTCATATAAGGGGATGTGATAGAGTATATATAAACCCATTATGGGTTTCAACCATTAGTTTAGGCTTTAGGTTGATTTAGTTCTCGACCAATTTTTGTATTGCAAGCTCATATGTTATTTAGTTTTATTTTCCTTAGCTTGCATGAGAAATTTTGTGTAAATAGCATAAAACAATGTTACTACTCTAATCGTATTATTCTTAATGTCATTTGTATTTGTGTTCTTATTACTATTCGCAATTCTATGCAGGTGCAAATAACTTGATACCTATTGAGATTGCACTTAAAATTGCTGAAAAGATAAAAGCAGATGAAAGATTTGTTGCATATATTGTTCTTCCTATGTGGCCAGAAGGTGATCCAAAAAGTCTTGCCATGCAAAGGATTCTTTATTGGCAAGTAAGTAAAGATTCACAAATTTGATATGCATTCTTAAATTATGGCACATTAAGGATAGATTTTGGAATTTGATCTTCTACTCACAGACACATAGGAGGTCTTAGCTTCTCTACTACGAATTGGATCATCACGAAAATTTTGGGAACTCGAGGCTTTCTCATTTTAGAAATCCTATTATGTTTTCAATACTGCACTCTGGCCTATTATTGTGCTAAATCCATAATGGCTAGCTACATGTCTTTGTATTTAGCTTTGGGTTTCCACATCATGATTCTCCAAACTACATTACATCTTTTAAGCTACTACCTCCACATTACAATGGCAAGCTACTTCCTTTTATAATTTAAGTATGTCCCACATGGTCATATGTTATTTAACTAATACATAAAAAAATAATAAACAAATCACTTTATTTGCCTTGGGTAGAGTGAAACTCCATAGCTTTGTAGAGCTATGTAGTTTCACCAAAGCTACAAGCTTTGTAGCTCCATAATGGCTAGCTTAATTCCAAGTATTTAGAAATTGCAAGGAAGTCCTTATGCACAACCCTTGTGGATGCTCTAATAAGGCTATGGTTGGAATACGAGGTGACCCCTTCCATAATGTTTTCAAAAATGAAACCTAAGTTGTTTTCATGCTACATGTATAACATTGAGAATGTTAAATTACATTTTTTTTTTTTAAAAAAAAATATTTTCCCTAAAGGGTGTTTTTGATTGACATGTTATCTTCATCAATGCACCTAAGTGATCAAGTAATAAATTGAGAGTATCAACATATTATTTTGATGGACATGCTATCTTGATGAACCTAAAATGTTTATAGTCTTTGTCTCTTATACATGGTTGAATACAAGTGAAATAATTTTTCGAGAATAATGCATATGCTGTTGTAATAGTTGACATCTTAAACTCTATTCTTCATTCATCTCACACGGTAATTTGTTTAAATGAATTGTAGTACAAGACAATGCAAATGATGTATCAAATAATTTATAAGGCGTTGGTAGAGAAAGGTTTAGAGAACAATTACGAGCCTCAAGACTTCTTGAATTTTTTTTGCTTGGGCAATCGGGAGATTTCAGAAGACAATAGTGTGCCAAGCGGAAGTGTAAATACTCCACAGGTTGATTTTGCATAATAACATATTAAAAAAAAAAAGGTTCTTTCTTTGAGTTTTCATCATTATTAACGAAGTTTGATTTTTTACATAGGCATTTTTAAAGAAGAATCGACGATTTATGATATATGTTCATTCAAAAGGCATGATAGTGGATGACGAGTATGTGATAATGGGTTCTGCAAACATCAACCAACGATCAATGGAAGGTACTCGAGACACTGAAATTGCAATGGGTGCTTATCAACCTCACTATACTTGGGCCTCAAGGAATTCACGGCCACATGGACAGGTTTGATGATGAATGTAATACTTGGTTTGAGCAAATGGAACATGCATGTTTAATGTGAGAATTTGTACTTGCAGATTTATGGATATCGAATGTCACTTTGGTCAGAGCACCTAGGAACGATTGAGGGTTGTTTTATGCGTCCCGAGAGCCTTGAATGTGTTAGACGAGTAAGAATATTAGGGGAACAAAATTGGATTCAATTTTCAATTGATCAAGTCACAGAAATGAAAGGACACCTTCTCAAGTACCCTTTGAAAGTTGATAGATGGGGCAGGGTTTGCCCTCTTCCTGGGTCTGAGAAATTCCCAGATTTAGGTGGCAAGGTTATGGGCACATTTTCAGGCATTCAAGAAAATCTTACCATTTGATTCAAAATTCTAATAGCATTAAATTTGTAGCTTACTTTTAGCAATAGGGATGATTATTAATTAATTATGACTACCTTTATTCAATCTGTCATTGGAATTTCTTAGGAATTTTGATCTTGTAAGTGTTGATAACACACCAAGTAGATAGATACTGTAGATGAATTAAATACTTTAGTTGTTTCATTGCAAAAATTAAAGAAAATAAGAATTCATTGAACTTTTTGATGTGAAATTCACATATGCTTAGAAGAGGAAGTTTTACAAATGTGCAAGTGACGAGGTTTATTTAAGCTAATATACACAGAAAAGCTTACAAATTCAATGAAAAGAAATTGAAATGCTTGTTTTGAATATACTTGTATAAGATACCATAATATGTACAAGCTTGTTTTGAAAACAGAAAAAATTAGATCAAAACATCCATGCATATAGATTAGACCTGTCAATTTTCAACCCGACTGGTTTTTGTTGGTCTTGAACAAAGTTTTTTGACCCGCAACCCGATTCAACCTAAACCCGTTTAACCCGTAAATTTGCGGGTCAAACCCGACCCGTCGTTCGGTTTTTATGGGTTTTATTTTATTTAATTATTTATTTTTATAAATTAATATGAAGTATTAGTTTATTGATTAAGTTTGATTGTTTGTCTACCATGGGACATTCGTTATTTCATCTCTTTCTCATTTAACTCTTGCTCAAATCCACATCAATCACCTCCTACACCAATTATCGACCTACACTAATTGCATCCATATAACCCACATTACCGTCATACCATCTATCGATCGATTGGAAGATCTATTGATATTATGTAACACCCCCAAATATCCCTCTACGGAACTACTAGTATAATATGTATAATTATACCGTAGAGATAGACTTAGGCGTATTATCTCCACGTGATTACGCAAGGCTACTCAAACTACTAACCAAAACCAATACTTTGCAGCGGAAACTCAAACTCTTTCTTTATTAATAATAGTGATAGATAGAAACCATTGTCATGAGTACTCATAATTAAACAAAGACCAACAATCCTAATTCTAGGTGAAGAACATTCCCGGGACTCCCATATTCTCAATTATTGGCTGCACCTGAAAATATTCAACACTGCTTACCATTAAGGTAAACATACAGGGCGAACCAAAACAAATAGAAAATACAAATTAGCAAAATATGCTAATTACGATAAGTGCAAGATAAGTAAATTCAATTTATTAGCAAACATGCTTTTAAAAACCAATTCCAATGTTAATCCAATAACTCCAAAACTCATGATTCAAAATCAATTCCAATAATTCAATAATTCGATAAAACGATTTATAAAACCAATTCCTCTTTTGAAAACCAATTCCTCTTTGAATGAAATCAAACTTTATAATAGAATACTCAAAAACTCCTTTTGTATTTAATTCAACAAAATTTTTAAATCAAACCTTGATTCTGAATATCAATCAACACTTCGCACTTTCAAAGTTCAATCATGAATACACCTTGAAATTAATATAACCATAAGGTTATCACTACATCTTTAGGCATAAACCCAAATCTAATGTGCATGGACTATAAAACTCTTTTTAAAAATAATACTTTAATATAAAATTATAGCTTTGAAATAAGTATTTATATTTTAGAAAACTAACCATGAAGAAAATAAAGGAATAGGATTAAAGAGAATTGAATTTGCGTTGGAAAGAATAGGCAGAACTTGCAGAGGCTATGTAACACCCCAATAATTCTCTTTTAAAAACTTGTAAATACCTTTAACAATTTGCTAGAGAATTACTGACGTGCTACCTCCACGTGTTCAAACGTCTAGGCTAGTTCAGAATTTAGCAGCGGAAAAACTAACTCACTTATAAATAAGTTTCAAAACCAATAATCAAAATCAAATTTAGTCTTACAAGTCGGAACCATTAAGGGCCTTATTCAAATCATAACAAAAGTAGTAATAAATAAATCAAACCAGAGTTAAAATAAATCCAAACTTATGAAATGAAATATACTGTGGAAATATCCAACACTCCACTCAAAATCCCACCACCTTGATTCAAGTTCTGATTATGTAAAAACCTGTGACTAATTAATCTGCTCCCCAATATTACAAGTGTAAAAATTGGATCATTACAAGGGTCATTGAAGGGAAAATGCCATGACCAAGAAAGAGACACACAAAAGCACGCAATCAGCAACGCTGAGTACATACAAGCTACGAGATATAGCAAAGAATCCCTAGCATGTTACTAGAAATCAATCAGCACACACAATTTAATTATTGACCCAATGATAGGCGGTCGCACTCTTAACAAAAATAACCTAACTAATCCTCCTAACTATGTAGTAGGGTAAGTCAGGGTCGATCCCACAGAGACTATGGTTCACCTGAATTATCTAGACTCAAGTTATTACTAAGCAAGAATCAACAATGGTGGATTAAACTATATGCTAAAATATGGAAAACTAGAAATAATCAAACGAATATGATAAATCAAATAACTAAAACATCCAAGATCAAGTATCACCACAATTACGATCGATGCAATTATATTTCTACCCCTAACATACGATTCTAATCGAATGGGGAAAAGTAAACCCTAATCAATACCAAAGACCTCTCTCGAGTATCAATTGCTTCCCCAACATACAATCAAGCCTATTCTCATGGTATCATGCAAATTAGAGACATTAAACACAATACTCTAACCTCCCAATTATCAACCCAACTATTCTCATGTTGAATCTCAAACCCTAAATTAATTTACTCAAATCTGTTAAAACCCAACTCTCGTTGTGATTGAAACTATGGAATAATAACAATACTAATTATCTCTAATCTAGTATTGGCATAATCAAATAAATTTAGCATAAACAATTGCAATAGTTATTAGAGAATTTAAAGAATTAAATCATGCATCAATCATAATTGGGCTACCCTAGATCTTGGAATAAAGAAACTACTCACTCATAATGAAATAAACAATAACAAAAATAATTAAGGAAAAAATAATTAAGAAAATTAAAGATGAAAAGAAAATACCAAATCTTGAATTAAATGGAAAAACGAAAAGTAGAAATCTTGAATCTTGAATTACAAAAGCTAAAGCAAAATAATGGAGAGTACTAGGTCTTAACAATGTAAAATTAGACTAATAAAAACTTAATTTCAAATAAAACAATACTTAGTGTATTTATAGCCCTAGAAAGATAAGAAGATAATTAAATTTCTTGGCGCATAATCCTTCCAGGAGGCACGGACGTGCCTACAAGCCGTGCCTCTCGAGTGCTCAAAACCTTGTCTTCTGACTTCCAGGCACGGACGTGCCTCTTGACGAGTGTAATTCTGCAGTCTTGGGTACGGACGTGCCCCTGCTAGGCACGAACGTGCCTAATGTCGAAGCTCGTAGCTGTGTAAACTGACTTGGAGGCACGGACGTGCCTCACTCCAAAAGTCCCTAAATAGCTCGTTCTTCAATCAACAAGCCTCGTGAAGGTTCGTGGGCCTCGATTTAGCTTCGTGACTTCGTAAAATATCCAAATTAGCTTCGTTAATCCTGAAATACATCAAAAACAACGAAACTACCCATAAAAGCATCGAATCATCGAAACTAAACCAAATTACACCAAAATAGACTAAAACACTCGACTAAGCTAATAAAACCAACTAAAAATAAGCTAACAAATATGCACAAAACACGACTTATCACCCAAAGACATGCCTCAACTGTTAACATTACTAAGACTTCACTAATTACTAACGATAATTAATTTCATTTCATTCATTGATTGGATTAAGCAATAGACAAGGTTGTCTCCTCATGCTCCATTTTGGAACATCAATAAAAGAAAAACCCCATACCTCCTTTCGGAAACAGCAATAAACATCCAATAGCAGACGGGCACGACTCCGTGGCCATAATATGAGATCTCATCTAACTCCTTATAGTTTTAAAAAGTATTTGAAAACAAGAGACTCGTCGATCAGACGATCTCTAAAAAGTACACGGCTAATACCCCATGTACCCCAACCCCTGTTTGTCATTACTCTAGACGTGCACAAATTCAGAGTTTTATTACTCATCCTTATTGCAGTGTACGTGATTTACCAGTTTAAACTTGGTGATGACTCTAATGCAAAATGATACAACCAATCATACATAAATCATTCAAGCAATTCAAATTTCCAATTCAATTCTTGATTTATTAGTGACAAACAATATTTATTATTAAATCCCTTAACTACCTCGGTGTATAAACACCTTAGGTGCATAAGGCACCTCAAATCATCAACCTCGTCTTATAAGACTTTAATTCTCCCTTTACTCATTCCATTTCAATAAACATGAATGAGCATTAAAATGATTCATTCCCCATATTCACGTACCTTTGCCTCTAAGCTCATCTTGCAAGTTAATGCATAAATAATACCTACAAGATAAATTAATACGCATTTCTCATACATGAAACAAAACTAATCATCACATTAATCACCAATCAAACTTACTACCATACAATTCCAACCAATCCACAAGTTTCCTAACTTGATTCTAAATCTTCCAAGTCCTTAAACATGCTCCTAAAGTCAAGGTTTTCGTATCCTTTTACGTACCTTGAGTAAACGAGTTGATTAAGCACTTTAGGAACTAGAAATCGTCTTCTACAAAGTCCTCTCCTAAACTAAACAATAATAATTCAATCAATACCCAAGCAATATAACTTACTTTAAAACCTTAAAAATTCAAGTAAACAACACTTTAAAACTTTCCCTTTTACTAGAATTAAAAGCTTATATATAGTTTTTTAATACATAAAAACCTTATAATACATACTTATTCATGAAATTACAGCTAGTTTAGGGCTTTAGAAAAATTTAAAAATTTATTTTACACATGAAATCTTGAAATTATAGAAATCTTTATCACTACATACATTATATAGAAAGTTAGTAGACTTTAAACCCAAAAAATTCCTCAATTCAACGTAATTAAAGACTCCAAAAACAATAACCAAAAATCTGAAAATTTATTCTGCAATTAAACTTTAAAGTTCCAAACTTTATAATTATAAAATAACCACAACCTTTGTTTAATGAAATTAGAGGCTTGAAACACATGAAATCAATACAATTTAAACCCAAGATTAAAACATTAATAATCTGAAAATTTATTTTAAACATTAAACCTTCGTTAAAAATCAAAAAACTGCCCGAAAACCATATTTAGAGGTTGAATTTGGCCACGAGAGGGTGGTGACCATTACCAAAGGTAGTGAGGTGTGATTAAAACTTCATTTACACACGAAAAACACTATTTTATTGTAAAAATCAGACGAGTTAGAATCTAAACGTGATTAAAACGTGATAAAAAAAAATTAAGAACGGAGATCAGAAGCTGATTACGAAAAACTGAAAATTTGTTTTTGAATTAAACATCATCATGAAAGTAGAATTACAATATAATCATGCTTTAATTGAATAACTTGTAGATCACAGTTTAAAACCCCAAAACATGAAAACTAACATTTTTAAGCCCTAATTTTATGAACAAAATTAAAGTGTATAATAAGATTCATAAAACTCATAATTTAAGATAAATTATCACATGATTAAACCATTAAAATCAATTAACAATATCATAAAAAATAATTATCAAAACAATGAAGGATTATGGCAAAAATAAGAAGGAAGAAGGAAAAAGAGAAGAAGAAGAAAAAAGAAAAAAAAAAAGAAAAAGAAAAGGAAATTATAAAAAAGAAAAATGAAGGGAAAATAAAATAAAGAAAAATAAAGGGAAAAGAAATAAAGACTAACCTTTTTGTGTGGGGAAAATTTGGGGATTCATGGGGTATTTATAATAGAGAATTGTAGGATAGAATTGGGCCTCGTGAAAATAATTGGTCAATTAAATAAACAAATGGATTATGCTTTGTTTTTATGATAATGGGTTGTAGGATATAGGTTCATAAAATAATTTAGCCTAAAATAATTTTTGACCCAATTAATAATTTGAAACTTTTTAAATTAAATTCTGGAAAAATACAAATAAATATTATAAATAAAATAAAATTTCATTTATAAAATATTTAAAATTACGGGGAACTACAGGCTATAACTCCGAATTGGATGATTCTTGAGCCTAACCTCAAGGATTTTTCTAGAGGAACAATTTTCTATGAAATAGAAAAACCCCAAAACTGACCAGAAGTGACCGAAAATCGGCTCCAAGAATATACGGGCTGATTTTCTTTTAATAAAGAGGAGAAGAAAAGTAGGAAAAAATTGAAGGAAAAGAAGAGTAAGAGAGAAGAAGAGAATTGAGTTTTGGTGTGAAGAATATGAGAGGTATGAGGGGGTATTTATAGGCTCATGAATGAAAGAATTAAGGAAAGATCTTGTAGGAAGAATTATGGTAAATTGGTTTATGGAAATTACTTAGAGAAGAGAGCTAAAGAATTATGGAAAGTCTAGGTTATGGTGATTAAGTAATGAAGAAATAAAGTAAGTATGTAGTCATGAAATATTAAATGGTAAATGGCTTTGCTTTTAAGGTAGGGAAATAAGATGATCAAATATTGAGGAGATGAAAAATAAAAATTAAGGAAAATAATAGAATTAAGGAAGATAATTAAAATACAAAAATTACCAAAATAATTTTAGAAAATTCAAATATCTTTTTGGCTCCAAAATTCAAATAGTATAATAAATTACTAAAATACCCTTTTTTGAAAATATTAATTAATTAGAAAATACGTTTCAAAAATACGGGGCATTACATATTATGTCAAGAGATATTATAGTCCACATATATAATTATGTTGGTCTCTTTCTTTAATTTTGGGATGTTTAAAAATTTTATTTTTAATTTTATTATTATTTTTTATTAGTTAGAATTTGATGTGCTTCAATGAAATGGTGACGATTGAAATTATGTAGTATGTAACGGTTAAAAATAATATGGTGAAAATGTTCGTTTAAAAAATTGGAAAAAAAAAGTAAATTAAGCTAGAAAAATAAAAAAAATTAAAAAAATAAGCTAAATAAAATAAATAAATAAAAAATTGTTCTAAACCCATTGGGTTGACTCGAACCCGACACTTTGGGTTAGGGTTGAGCATTTCTCGACTCGTGACCCGAAGTAACCCGACCTAAATGACCCCGTGACCCGGAGCGACCTGACCCGAACCCGACCCGATTGACAGGTCTAGATTATAGACTAGCTTATAGTATGAAGTTAGTTATAATATAAACTCTTACAGTATATAAATGACACAACGACACCCTTATACTACCTCCGTTAAATATTAATTGCAACTTTGGGGTATTATTTGTGAGATATAAAATATTCCAAAGTTACAACTAATATTTAACGGAGGTAGTACTACAAATGACTTATAAGTTCTTTAAAAAATTCAGTGTTCCTTTAAAACTTTCAATTTCAAAAATTTGGTAAAAAAAAGACTCCGTATGATGTATTAGATGTCCTTTGAAATTAATTACTACCTCTGTTTCATATTTTTTACAGCGTTGGAATATTTTATACTACCTTCGTATACAATATTTACAAATAATACCCAAAAAATTAAAGAAAAAAGTTGTTTAGTAGTGGGAATCAAAAACCGTTATAGAATTGAACCTTCAATATTTATATTGTGGGCCCCACCATCCGGTAACCGGTAAGTCTTTTCCACCGTCCATCCGCCAAGTTTCACCACTCGTTGCCCCCTCCACTTCCCAAAGACCCAAAACGAGCAACATCTTAAAGGGTAAAACAGTAAATTCAGCCTCTTACCCAAACCAAACCCTTATAAAAAGGAAAAAAAAAAAGACTTTTAATTTTAAGGTCCATTGAAACACAACAAGTCACGTGACATAATACACGTGACACTCACACATTCCTCCCTCTCACAGTCCACGTCATCAAAAGTGGGACCCAATTCCCTTCCCCTTTGGCGCGCTTGCAATTTCATCCTACGTGTCACCCTGGTAAATAAACCAACATTCCAAGGGCAAAACAGTAAAAACAGTTCGAACTAGAGAAACACTAAAACAACTTTCAGTTCATAACAGAAAGAGGCAGCAAACAGCAACACACAACAAAAAAATTAAACTAAACTCAACTGAAGAACAACAAACATCAACAAACAAACCCAGAAAATACGGAATAACCTATGCATTTATCCTACAATTAATCAAACTACACTTCAATGGATGAAACTCAGGTAATCTTGCTCTTATGTTTCCTCAATTTCTCCGAATAAAATTTCTTTTTAAAAAAAAAAAATTCATCAACCACTTTTTATAAACAGTGTATTCAGTTCTTCCAACTACCTTTTTTTTTTTTTTTTTTTTTTTTTGAATTTGGGAGAATTTGATGATTTTTAAGATTAATTCAATGGATTTAAGAAATGGGTGTTGATTAATTTTCAAAATAAATTTGAAAATTTTGTGGGTTTTTTTTTATAATTTTTTTGATTAATTTTGTAGAAAATGACGGCGTTGAAGAAGGCTTATGCGGAGATAATACTGAATACGGCGAAGGAAGCGGCGGCAAGGATAATGGCGTCGGAGAGAAAATCACAACAATTTCATCACGATCTTAATTGTACTAAAGAGGAAGCTCTTCGTCTTTTACTCCGTCAAAAACAAACTATGGATGCTAAAGTAATGTGGTTTTCTTTTTTCCTTGTGATTCTTGCTCTTTCTTCGAGTTTTCGATTTTTTTATTGGATATGTGAATGTTTTCTTTGTTGGGTGTCAAATCTTAGGTTGTGGGTGTTTTCATTTTTGATTGATGGTGTTAAATTTAGGGTCTTGAGTTTGTAGTGATGGAGATGAAATTGTATGTCAATTGGGAAATAAGAGATAATGGATTGTGATTTTTTTTTAGTAGGTGTTTGAAATCGTGTTATGATTGGGGAGGCGAGGCAGGGTTTCGGATTGGATGTTCTGTTTATGATGTTCTTGTTGGCAATTTTGGGATCATTCTGAAATCTGATGCATTGTTGATTGTTCTGCTGGCAGCTGGCCTGTTGGTGCTAATTTCTGCTTTGGTTTCGAGGATACTATTGAAGATCGCCTTACACTGTGTGTATGTGTGATCCTCGGCGTTGATTTTTGTTTCACAGTACTTGTGAAGTGTGGTCAGTTTGTGGGAGTGTGCTTCTGTTTAATGAATTGGGAGGTGATTTTCTTCTGTGTTTGTTTCAAGAAAAGCTTTGAATGTGAATATTAATTGTCTGTTAATCATGTTTGATAACAATGAGTATGCTATAATATATTAATATGAAGTCTAAATAGTTTGGCTTTTGGTTATGTGTTATGTCAAAGTTACCATATCTCTGATATTATAAAGGGGTTAAGCATGTGGATTGGAAACTTGATTGATTGCCTTTGCTTTATTGTCAGATAAATGAAGTGGAGATGAAATCCTTAAACCAACAAAGAAGAATAGAAGAGCTAGAAGCTCAGCTCCAAGAAGCTGAGGATATAGTGAGTAACCTGAGAGTAGAGCTGAATGAGGCGCATATGAAGTTGGAGGAAGTAGCAAATAACCAAACAAAGAATTCACCAGATACGACTGAAAGGGATGATCACTGTGAAGAAGGAACCGAACAGCCTGAGAATGGGCTATCTGAAGCTGTCTCAGTTGCGCAAACTATTTCCTTGGACATATCAGCAAATGGGCATTATGTTTCAGAAAATTCTTTAGCGGAGTTTGGTTATTCTGGTGATCCAGTTGTTCCTTCAATAATTATGAGAAGCAAAAAACCTGAGCTATATAGAAACGGCTGCACACAAAGGATACGTGCGTATGAAGGGAGTCTTATAAATGGCCATTTTTCTCTGTCTGGAGAGTCGGATGATTTGAAAAATGAGAAAGCTATAAGCGAAGATAAAGAAAGTGAAGGGATGTACATGGCTCCTGTAGTTGCTGATACTACATTTTCTTCAGGGAAGAAACCGTTTGACAATCAAGAAGTAAAACATGTGGACAAAGGTAGTAGCTTTGGACATGAATTAAAATCACGTTGTCGTGGAAGAAAAAGAGCTGTTAGACACAGAAAAAGAAATGCTTCCACACCTAACACTATTCCTCATTTGGCCAATGAAACCCTTACCAATCTTTCAAAATCTCAACCTTGCTTAACTAGTTTTCTTGACATGCATGATTCTAGTGATGAACATAAGGAAACACTCCACACTCACCATCAATATTGCAATCAAGTGTTTCCGAGATGGGAGTATTATCAGAACATGTAGCAACTGCCCGAGGCGATGAAACTGAGGTTCGCGTAGTTGTGGCAAATGAAGATACAGATGTAGCTAGTAGTTTGAATTTGATTAAGCAGCAAAGTGGTTCTGGGGATTGCTTAAATGTTTCGAGTTCAAAACATGATCTTAAAAGTAGTAGCATGCTACAAGCATTAAAACCACGTTGTCATGGCAGAAAAAGAGCTGTTAGATGCAGCAGGAGAAGAGATCTTTCTGCATTTAGCGTTATTCCTCTTCTGGCCAACGAAACACTTCCAATCTTTCAAACTCTCAACCATGCTTAACTAGTTCTCATGAAATGCATGTAACTAGTGATGGATCTGATGATATAGATAAAGATACACTCCCAAACTCATCTTCAATATTACACTCTAGTGTTTCCGAGATATCAGAACATGTAGCAACTACCCGAGGTGATGATACTGAGGTTCGCATAGATGTGGTGGATGAAGATACAGATGTAGCTACTAGTTTGAATTTGATTAAGCAGCAAAGTGGTTCTGGGGATTGCTTAAATGTTCCGAGTTCAAAACAAGATCTTGAGATGAATAATTCTTCTTCAGTAAACCTCAATTCTACATTGCTGGAAGCTGGTAATGTTTTCTCTAGCCCACCACCAAAAGATAGGGTTCTTAAGTATACTTTCCAGAGAAAACGGAAGAAGGAGTCCGTAAGTGGTGATGATAGCAGTTTGCACCAGGAGAGTCCTTTTGAAAAGAATTACTGTAAAGAAGCAGGATGGTGATCTTGAGCCCCCAGAATCTAGTGCTGTGTCTGAAACATCGCGAGATAGTCGAAGGATGGCACAAGTGGCACGCCAGGTTGGTATTCGTCTCTCTAATATATGAAGTTCTATTTTCTATGATTTGGCAAGCTTAATAGTTTGGAATTACTTTTGATTTTGTTTTCACTGAACTCCATTAAAATCTAGTTGATCTTGTAGGCTGGCTGGTTTAGTGCTGATATGTGACAGTGCCTGCATCATTGTAGCTACCTTTATAAATAATATGCTAATAAATAAATTAATAAAAGAGGCAGGCTAAGCTATAACAATGAACCCGAGATATCATGAATTATGTGTTGACGTTTGAGTAATGTCGTATGTTAACGAAGTTGGTTTCCTCTAATGATGTCCATTTTTTTTACCTAAGGTATACGTTGAGCGGGGGATATGATCTCTTAGGCCTGTCTTTGGTTATAGAATAGATGCACTTACATAGAGAAACATAAATGCTATGCACAGGGCTGCTGCTTAGTCATTTCATGTGTCTTAATTATTTAGTCATCCTGTGCTTGTAGAGCGATAATTTATTTTGTTATTAGGTTTGGGGGAGATTAATCTTCTGACTACACGAGGTTATTGCTCATTCTTTATTGCATTTTAACCTTTATCTCTTCATGCATAATAAATTTGACATATTCAGATTTAAGAAGTGTGAAGTCTTTGGATGCGCTTAATAGATGCATACATGCAGAACTGCACTTGTTCTCAATGGGATTTAAGAGAGAGACAAAGTTGTGTTTATATCTAGAGTTTTCATGAGTATGCTGCAGAACAATGGAAGATGGAAAAACAATGGAAGATGGAAAAGCTGCTCCAATCCAACTGTATATATATATCTTAATGACCAATCCTCGAGCTTATTATATGCTCCAGTTGGGGTAGCTTGAACAATTTTAAATTCTTTGTCTGTGTTTTCTGATTAGAGTTTTTTTTGCACTATGGCTTATCTCTATTGCTTGGTTGGATAGGAATTTAAAACGGGAGCCGATGATATAAGAGGGCAGATAGGGAGGTACAAAAAAGTACAGATATATGTGATGCAAGATTTGGGATGGAATGATTATGTGGGAGGGGGAGGGGTGAAGAGATTTGGGTTAATTTTTCATTGTTTGGAGGTTTGGAAAGATTGTAAAAAGCAGAGAGGAGGAGACACTTGTGATTCCTATACTCAATTTAACTGTAAGTTAGCGAGATTAAACTTCCTTTGTTGAATTCAGAGTGATACATAAACCTTTTAGTACTTTTTTTTACGAGCAATCAAGATTAATAGGAGTGATTTAGGGATATAAGAACCAATACATTCTTTCAGGATTGATTGAGCAGATTGTCTTATTGGTAATACTTTGGGTTAGATCCACATGACCTTTGCCCAACCCATTTGTTATTCATACCATGGAAAATATACCCCTTCTCCCTCTATCCTTCTCCTCATTCCTATAAATCGTTCTACCGAACACATATTCAGTGAGTGTTCTGTTTGGATATACTGTTTAACATGATGCATTCGATTATATAACTTGCTTCTTGTGGACAAAAGAATTAAATTTGCTTGCAGAATAAAACAAGTTATTAAGGACAGAATTATTGGATCAGCTTGAAGATGCATTTCTAACTGTCATTACTCCATTAGTGATTTGTGTTGCAAACAAAGTTAGTCTGCACTCGAGAGAGTGAGGACTTGAGTGTTTAGACCCCATATCATTGGATGGCTACATTAGCTGAAAATATCCCAACACTGTCGTCTAGGGGCAAACTATGTGATAATTGCGGCTGTCTCTGTACTCACGTAACTGTGTATGCATTCTTAGGATTTCTTGCTAATTGTGATTGCTGAATCCTTGGAATGTATCCTTTTATAATCTCTAGGTAACTGGTGGGTGGTATGCGTTTGAGCTTCTAGTCTGTGTGGCTGATCAATACTATCTTATTGTATTTTATTTGGACTCTTAAAAATTCTTATCTAGATGTGCATACATATGTGTCAGATAGATCATCTCATTTATGGATGCAACTAGAAGTTTGTTTGGCACTGCTTTTCTTTCAGCTCATTTAGGAGGAGCATTCTTTGATTATGTAGCTTCAAAATTTGTGTCAAACATGTGGTAGTTTCCATTTTGGGACCATGTCGTACATTCTTATTATATTAGAGGTACTTTTGGTTTGAATTATTTGACAAAGAATCATGAACTTGGAAAAAATAGCATTAAGATATCATGGTACCTACATGAAATTCAACCTAAAAGAAGAGCAGTAACCATATCGATAATATTAATAAGGAAACCAAAAAAGTAAAAGTAATTATACTAATAACTAATTGTCTATAAGTAATGGTTTTAGTTTTATGCATCGGTACTCTTGGTAGCTCTAATGTTCAAGAAGTAATTATTAATGCTATTATGCTAGACTAGAAGAGGGAAATGGTAGTAGAAAGAGGAGTAATTTAGTAATTTTATGAGAAGCTAGTTAGAGTGTTGGAGTAGAGAGCAAGTCAGGCAATTGCGAGGGAATAATAGGGGATAGGCTGCATATTGCGGGGCGTTGAGAAAAGTTGAGAGAAAAATAGTTACTTGGGAGAGCACCAACCTCTCGAATGTTGGCTATGTTTAATTGGTGACTTCCACCTTGATTATTATCAATACAATCATGTCATACTAGTTTCCCCTAATCTGATATTGCATCTTCTTAATACCTCAGAATTTTCTGTTCTAATAAGAATAGCTAAGGATCATCCTCATTATTAGCATATATATGGCTCTGAACTGCTCATGTATATTTCATTGGGGTTTTATTTATATCTAATTTAGTCATGACAGTAACATTCTCTTTCTCGAGATTCATTATGAAGGTTTGCCCTTAATGCAAAAATGGGAACTATGATATTGTGATGTAGTTATTGATTGGTTTAATCTTTAAAAATAGTGCTCATAGGCAATAGTTAATGGCTTTAACATTGAGGCTGGACTTCTGTTGTTCTAATGGGAAAACAAAGTAGATTGGCTGTTTAGCTGCTGAATTTGCTAATATAGCTGCTGTTCGTATTACTGCAATTTTGCCTCTATGTCTATATCCTGTGATCCTGTCTATTGGCAAAGGCATCAACCTAAAGAATTTAAGTTGGTAGAGTAGTATGTAAAATTCTGAATTTGAGTTTGTTTTCTATTGATTGCTTCGATGTTTAATTTGGAAGTTGTGGCTTGTTCTCCTTGGCCAATTGAATGTAACTGTCTGTTTGGTTTTACAATGTTTGATGATGGTGACCTGAGCCTATTATTTATTCAGGACTCTGAATATTGGAGGGATCTCCAACCAAACTTCCCTTGTGACCTATATTGTGTAGATATCCACTGACATGTTCGAAAATTATCTAATTCGTTGTTGGAATGTTTTGTAGGCTGTAATCCTTTCCATATAGGTGAACAGAAAGAAATCAATTTTCAAAATGATGGAATCCTTGTATTACTTGTAGGTAGAGCTCCACGCCAGACGGTCAGATAGGGAAATCTTGTGAAAAGATAATGTCTTTTGCTAGTAGTAGCCCTAGTAGGAAGGTTACGCAAAAGGTTGCTAGTAATATGCTTTCATAGTTTCATACCACAATAAATCAATGCAAAAACTTTTTTGATAGTAGTTCCTCAAAAACATTGCTTAAAAGTATTTTTATACATTTTTTTTTTTGTATATTATGTTTGTATCTCGTTACAAGAAGTAATATTAACCCTACATGCAGCACTTGTTTGTAATACTAAGTAATTACTTTACAGTGAATTTTATGCATGTTCGTGGTTAACAATTCACAGTTACCACTTTTATCCTGTCATATAATGATATAATAACAGTGTTCTCTATTCTATTTGCAGCTCATATCGCTGTCTGAGAAGAAGTGGTGGAAGTAGTTAACAAGTTTGTTGCTTGCTGAAAAACCAAAGCCTAAGAAGGTTACGTGAATTTAGATGGAACAACCTTTCAACGTCATTGTTGATGTGAAATTAGCACCTGATTTAACAACCACAGCGGCTGCTGCTTCTATAGAGAGGGATAGAGAGAGCTGCAAATTAGCTCAGATTAATTAAGTTTCCGTGTCACATTCAATAAAGTAATGTTCTTATTTGTTTATAGCAATTTTCCAAATATCTTTGGTTAATACAAAGATGAATCGTTGTCACTTGATTACGTTGAATGTTCTTTACAATTAAGAAGTAATTACTACATATATATAGTCATTGATTTTACTATTACTCTGTATAAGATATGGAAGTACAGTATTAGAGTATTTCTTCTATGATCTATCTTAATTACCTTGCATTGTGGGATGCATTGTGAGGTTATATAGAGCTCTTTCAAGTTGTTTTGCTTACCGTTGTAACCTCAACAAATTTGTTTATTATTCAGGGA